CAGTCTGTTAAATGCTTCTTTGCCTCTACTTTTGTTCAAGTTTGTAATGTTTTTTATTATCCATAAATGAGTGAGATCATGTACTTTTTTTTTAAGGCTTCACATTTTGCCAACGCCTGACATACAAGCAATTTGAAAAACACAAGGAAATGAGAACTCAGTATCTTCACCAGTTGGCTCTTGAGATTACTACCGTAGTAACCCCAGCATCTCTTGGAAACAAAGAATGAATTAAGGAATTTCAAAAACACCACCCATCAGGAAGCTTTGCATTAACATTTCTGTGGCAGAAAACCACCATTTGTGAATGTAAACAAATCTCTGGGGTTTCCTCAAACTACCACACTGACACCTCAGGGACAGAATAGCTTCCAAGCACTGTGAGTGTAACCGCGCATAAAATGTCAAGGATGGTGGTCAAGAGGTACAGACTTCCAGTTATAAAGTAAATGAGTCCTGGGATGTAATGTACAGCATGGCGACTATAATTAATAATACTTAAGTACATAGTTGAAAGTTGCAAAGAGAAAAAAATTTTTTTTAATGTTAGGGAAGGCTGAAACCGGTTTGGCTCAGTGGATAGAGCATCGGCCTGAGGACTGAAAGGTCCCGGGTTCAATTCCAGTCAAGGGCATGTACCTTGGTTGCGGGCACTTCCCCAGTAGGAGGTGTGCAAGAGGCAGCTGATTGATGTTTCTCTCTCATCGATGTTTCTAGCTTTCTGTCCCTCTCTCTTCCTCTCTGTAAAAACTCAATAAAATATATATTTTTAAAAATGTTAGGGAAGTTTTTAACTTTAAAAGGGAATATGTTAAGTTCATGTAAGCTAATGTACTTACCGTATTTTTCGGACCGTAAGACGCACTTTTTTCCCCCCAGAAGTGGGGGGGAAAAGTCCCTGTGTCTTATGGTCCAAATATAGCCTACACATATACTTTAAAAAAAAAGTTTTTTTACTTGCCCGGCTCTGTGTGATCTCTGTGTGCTTGCCCGGCTCTAAAATGGTTCTAAATGCTGCTGTTTACTTTACAGGGTTGATTACATGTGTTTATGACTGTGATGTTGGGTTTTAATGCACATAAAATATTTTAGGACACTATTTGTTTCAGAATCTTTTTTTCTTCATTTCCCTTCTCTAAAAACTGGTGCGTCTTATGGTCCGGTGCGTCTTATGGTCCGAAAAATACGGTAATTATCATGCTGCTGAAGTCATGTGCTAAATGTGCTACTAGGGATCTGGTACATTTACTATCTTTCGGTTGATTTTCCCACAGAAAAGGAACATTTCATACCTGAGTTCTCTAAAGAAAACTTGCACTTTCCTTAGCATATATTATTTTTAAGCTATCCCCTCGGGCTGCTATTACTTAAAAACTGAATCATCTAAATAGTGTAAGGCTAAGAAAGTAGATTTTAAAAGCCATACATTTAAAATTCATGAATATCTAAAACCATGATTTTGCATTGTCTACTCCTTCTTTAGAGAGTATTTTATGGCTTTCTTCTTTCCTCTCTTCTTCTCTCTTTCTATACCTCCCTCCCTTCCTTTTTTTTTTTTTTTTTTAATATATTTTATTGATTTCATACAGAGAGGAAGGGAGAGAGATAGAGAGTTAGAAACATCGATGAGAGAGAGTCATCAATCAGCTGCCTCTTGCACACCCACTACTGGGGATATGCCCGCAACCAAGGTACATGCCCTTGACTGGAATCGAACCCAGGACCTTTTAGTCCCCAAGCTGACGTTCTATCCATTGAGCCAAACCGGTTTCGGCCCTCCCTTCCTCTTAATTGGAGGGACATTCCTGGGGAAAGTTTCCATTTTATTGTTCTGTGTAAGTCTAGTGGGGAATTCCTTCCTATTACTATGAGTGGCTGGAAGTGTGTATTACCAGGTCCTTGGATCTGATGATTAAAAAATTATATATAACCTTAAGTAAATATATTCCCTCTGAGCCTGTTTTGTTTTTTACTCTCTAGAATAAAAATACAGCCGAAACCGGTTTGGCTCAGTGAATAGAGCGTCGGTCTGCGGACTGAAGGGTCCCAGGTTCGATTCCAGTCAAGGGCATGTACCTTGGTTGCGGGCACATCCCCAGTAGGGGGTGTGCAAGAGGCAGCTGATAGGTGTTTCTCTCTCATCGATGTTTCTAACTCTTTAACTCTCTCCCTTCCTCTCTGTAAAAAATCAATAAAATATTAAAAAGACTTCCTTTTATAAAAAAAAAAAATACACATACAGAGATTGCATTTATAAGACTGTACCAAAAATATCAGAGGCACGAGGTATGGTAGACAATGAGAGAATGGGCTGTGGAGTCAGAGACCAGGATTTCCTAGTGACCTATTTGGGTTCAGAAGGGAAAATATGAGCAAGTGAATGACTTTGATTAAGGCAAAATCCAATTTAGAAATGAAATTAGAGTTGCTCAGCAATGCTTGAAATGCTTTAACATTTAAATTGAATGACATTTCTTTAAAAAGCTTATTTTCATCAGCATATATACTACTATTAGATTAATCTTGTTTACAAGAAAAAAAAAATTGTCTTCTACTGAATGGTTTTTGTAAGTTGAGGCATTAATTCCTAAAGAGAAAATCCTAACCAAGAGGTGCCACTCCATCTAGTGACAACTCCATAAATTACAGTTATTAGGCTTAAATAGAATTCCCAATTTGAGAGACTCGTTATATGCAAAGTATTTTTCCCCCTGTATAAATAAAACCCAGCTCCCGTCACTGTAAAGCTTACCTCCTGTTAGAATATCCAGTAAATTATAATGGGAATTCACAGCCTGATCTTATATAATTCACATTCTTAGATACTATCCAGATTAAGTAAAAGATTTTCTAACTCAAAGAAACAAATGTTGATACAAAACTCTTATCACATATAATTTATATACATAATATTCAAGATTGAAAATCATTCTTGAGATCCTCCTCCCTCCCCCCCGGAAATCTTTCTTCCCTGTACTCTCCACAAGTGGATTTTGGGGTGCTTTTACTATACAAACTGCTTGCATGCTAGAAAGATTTTTGAACATAAAAACCAGAACATTGGTGTAGCTGCAACTCTCCTTTAACAACTCTGTCGTCAATGATACTAATAGGCTACTCTGTTGCCCAGTTGATTCCCTCACAGGTGTATAATTCCACATTTGATTAATGCCAGCACTCCAGTTCTGGCCAGTGCCCACCATGTCATGCATAACTACCTATAAGCCAGGTTTGAATTCTTTCTCTTTGGTACTTGGGAACCTCCATGAGGTCACAGATGTGGGTTGCAGGAAAGGTAAACAGTGCACTAAATTCTCTAGGGGTGAGCTCACGCCACCGACTTGTCCAACCTGAGTCCAAACTTGTATGGACCGCTTCCACTGGACAAAGGCATGCTGCTGTGCGTGCCTAACCTGCGGAGGCAAGGGAAATGACCCCAGGACCAGAACTGAGAGCAGCGTTTCCAGTTGTCCAGTTTGCATAAAGATATGGCTGGAAATACTGGCTAATGGGTTGATTGGAGGATTAGAGACTTGAAAACAAAGACAAAACAACATGGGAATGAGAAGCTTCAGGATAGTATGTGAATGGACACCTCAACAAAGGCCAAAAGTGCAAGGATACCTCTGTCCTGTATGAAAGCTCATCCAAGTCCTGTTCTTTGGAGAAGGTCAGGGGTGGGGAACATCCGGCCCGCGGGCCCTCTAAGTCATTTGGTCTGGCCCTGCCAAAGCAATAGGGGTGACCTAATTAACTGTGTGACCAAGTATAGCAGGCTAATTTTTAAGTTGATAATTATGTATGGCCCTTCAATGTTATAAATATACAAATGGCCCTTGGCAGAACAAAGGTTCCCCATCCCTGCTCTAAGTGGACCGCATAGCCTACACTGTGGTTGTTAGTTAGCCTCTTTCCCCAGCCACCCCAGTCCTTGCCCAATTGTGCTACATTCTGGGGAAATTCCCTTAGCTTCTTTCTGTTTTTCAGTCTTTTTTTTTTTTTTTTTAATATATTTTATTGATTTTTCACACAGAGGAAGAGAGAGGGATAGAGAGTTAGAAACATCGATGAGAGAGTGTCATCGATCAGCTGCCTCTTGCACACCACCCACCGGGGATGTGCCCGCAACCAAGGTACATGCCCTTGACCGGAATCGAACCCGGGACCTTTCAGTCCGCAGGCCGACGCTCTATCCACTGAGCCAAACCGGTCCCGGCTGTTTTTCCTTCTTTAGTACTATCTGTTCTGCTATTCAACCATGAACTAAGCATAAGAAATCTCTACTTAAGGGAGCGGGGGGATTGGCAAGGGGTGTCAATTGGGGACTTTATTTTTATTTATTTATTATTTTTTAAATATAGATTTTATTGATTTTTTTACAGAGAGGGATAGAGAGTTATAGAAACATCGATGAGCGAGAATCATCGATCAGCCACCTCTTGCACACTCCCCACTGGGGATGTGCCCGCAACCCAGGCACATGCCCTTGACCAGAAGCAAACCCGGGACCCTTCAGTCCGCAGGCCCACGCTCTATCCACTGAGCCAAACCGGTTTCAGCTCAATTGAGGACTTTAAACAAAACAAACAAACAAACAAAAAAAAAAACACTTTAAACAAATCTCTACTTTTAATTTCTAAGATCTTTGTTATAGCAACCTGTTGTTGTTGTAATAGATGCAATTCCCTCACCAGTCTCTCAGAGAATATTACTTAAAAAGTTTCTTTTGCTTATTTTATTCCCTAGGGGTTCATTCTTGTTTGCTGGATTTGGTGGTGTTAAGCACTCCTCAAATGTTTAATGTTTGGGTGTTTGTTTTTTCATTTATGAATTCCCCGTTTTCCCTGACAGTGAATTAAGTTCTAATTAGGGTGTCTTTCCCCAGCAGGAGGAAAGTGTACTAAATTTAGGACCCTGCCCAGAATTCTTTGTAATGAGGTTTGAGCTCTTGTCTTTAGCCAAAGATCAGTGCCACAATCAACTGCCCCTTTAAGTTTTTAAAATTCTAATACTCTTAGTGGATATGACATTACTTCAGTTTCTATTCTGTTTCTCTTTCCAACTCTTACACTTCTACTCTTTCTGCTGAGCCTCAACTCCAAGAAAGGGAGTTGAGTTTAGCTGTTTCCATCTCATTCTTTATATGGCTTCCCCATGATCTCCTACTCGTTGGATTTGCCCTAAATTAAAATACCTCTCGAGCCCTGACAGGTTTGGCTCAGTGAATAGAGCGTCGGCCTATGGACTGAAGGGTCCCAGGTTCAATTCCAGTCGAGGGCACATCCTCAGGAGGCAGCTGATTGATGTTTCTCATTGATGTTTCTAACTCTCTATCCCTCTCCTCTCCTCTCTATAAAAAATCAATGAAACATATTTTTTAAAATAAAATAAAATACCTCTCGAATTATTCTTACATCTTTGGTTTTCTCCTTTCCTGATCTAGGTTTTCTTGTCCTATTTTCTCTAACAACTTAATCCAATTAGTTTTCCATATTTTAAAAAGTTTCTCCGCATTTGGCCGGGACCGGTTTGGTTCAGTGGATAGAGCGTCGGCCTGGGGACTGAAAGGTCCCGGGTTCGATTCCGGTTGAGGGCATGTACCTTGGTTGCGGGCACATCCCCAGTAGGGGGTGTGCAAGAGGCAGCTGATCGATGATTCTCTCTCATTGATGTTTCTGACTCTCTGTCCTCTCTCTTCCTCTGTGTGAAAAATCAATAAAATATATTAAAAAAAAAAAAAAAAAGTTTCTCCGCATTTGTTCACTAATGGCATCCTTCAGGATTTACTCTCCTAATAAAATATATGAACTGTTTCATGCACATAATAAAGTATAGATTCTAATACAATAAACACCTATGTGCCTTCCACCCAGGTTGAGAAAGAATATATCACAAGTAGCATCTGAGTGTTCTGTGTATGCCTCCCTGATCTCATTTGCCTCTCTTCTCTGAGCTTAAAAGGATTTGGGACAGACAGAGAAGTAGGTGGACATGATCAGTTTATACTATTGTATATTAAAGCCAATCATCACTGGATTAAAAATTTCAAAACCAAGATAGAAAAAGCTTTTGAGAAGGCAGTTCTATCTTGATTACTCATTGCTATAAATCCTAATCTTCTATCTTAAGGTGTATATTATGCAGGGCCAACATGTTACTTCCCTGCATGCAAATTATAATAAAAATATTAAACTCTAATATGACTAAGCGCTATCTCCTAGTAAATCTCATACTTAAGATCATCACTAATTTTTTACGTTTTTTGTTATGTGTTCAAAAAAATCATTAATGTGCCGAGACCGGTTTGGCTCAATGGATAGAGCGTCGGCTTGGGGACTGAAGGGTCCCGGGTTCGATTCCGGTTAAGGGCATGTACCTTGGTTGTGCGCATATCCCCAGTAGGGGGTGTGCAAGAGGCAGCTGATCGATGACACTCTCTCATCGATGTTTCTGACTATCTCTCTCCCTTCCTCTCTGTACAAAATCAATAAAATATATTTTTTAAAAAATCATTAATGTTTTTCTAAAATAATAGAGATCTTTAATCATTATATCAGAGAATATTTATTATTCTGAGCTAAAGTTAAATGTTCTCTTTGAAGTCAACTTATTTTATAATATTAAAACATCTCTAGCAATAAAGTTTTCAAAATTAGGCAGATATTGAAATACATGAGAGCTTTGCCGAAACCGGTTTGGCTCAGTGAATAGAGCGTCAGTCTGTAGACCAAAAGGTTCTGGTCAAGGGCATGTACAATAGCTGCGGGCACATCCCCAGTAGGGGGTGTGCAGGAGGCAGCTGGTCAATTATTCTCTCTCATTGATGTTTCTAACTACCTATCCCTCTCCCTTCCTCTCTGTGAAAAATCAATAAAATATATTTTAAAAAAATAAATACATGGGAGCTTTGAAACTACAGATAAAGGATTAGGCTCTATGTTCATTAATTTAAGAAATGAATTTTTATGGTCTCAAAAAAGCACTCTGAGACCTACACTGTATACATAAATTCTGGTCTACTGTAGTAAGGATATGAACGCATATGCATCATCCTCAGTAGAATATAACAGAAGCCTTCAGGTGAGGGCATGTTTTGGGAATGCAGCCTTGAGGAATGCCTAGTTCCTCACAGCAAAAACACCTGGCTGGTAATGACAGTATTCTATCTGACCAAGATCACATCCTGACAAGTCAAGAAAAGCCCTTTAAATGGGCTTATCTTTTTACCTCCAACTACATTACCTTGAAATTCTAGCACTGTTCAATTGTATGGTTGCAAAAACTTTTTTATGCCACCAGCATCTTTTTCCTACAATGTCCACAAATTATATGTTAGTAATTGTGTATCTTCAAACTCTGTAATGATAACCAGCCTCGGTCTTGGAAGGACTGACCTGGCCTTACCCCAATATAATTCAATATATAATTGTAGTTAATACACAGCTCTTTCACCCAGCCCAGCGTCTGTCTCTTCACCTTAATTTCCCTATGGGAAACTTCCTTCTTTTACTCTAGGCTGTCTTGTTGGGACTGTCAAAGTCCGTAAAGCCATAAGGTAGGCACATGATCCCAAGTTGGGAAAAGAGATTGGGAGGAATCTGATTTATGAGCACAGGCCTAAGATAGAAAATACAGAAGCTGAGATATTTTGATGGTAAGGCTCTGTAAGGATTGTCTCTTAATTTCTATAATCTAGACGCCTAAGGTTATCTGGTTTTTATTCTTAGGGCTGTCGGTCCAGCTTTTTCCTAGATTTCCCGAGCTGTCCTCTGTCCTGCTGATAAATGATGTTTCACTTAGGATTGCTCTAATGAGTTCCTACTGTTTGCCATTAAAGAAGCCTACCTTTAACATCTTAATATGCTTACTGTAGATTAGATTTTAAAACTAATATTCATTTCAGTCGAACCCCAAGTTAACATCAAATTTATTTCAATCCCCCAAAATGGTGCAGTATTTTTATGAGTGAATACATTTCTGCCAACACAGTGGTGACTAAAAACACTTTAGTAAATTGGTTTTAGTCTCCACATTTTCAAACTTACTCTAAGTAAAAAATAAACATTAAACACACATAAGAATGGTCTTTACAACTTAAGTATATACAAATAAGAATGAGAAATTTAAAATAAAATACTTCTAAAAGAGAGAGAAATCATACCAGACTGAAAACACTTTGGCCAATTCCTAGTCAGTCACACAACTCTTAAGGAAAATGGACCAACTATGCTTTCAACTATGAAGAATTAAACCTAAAATGCATTTATTCTTTCATCTTCTAGTGAAAGATAACCTATTCTGAGAAACAGCATAAGCATTGTTACAGTAATCTAGCTCCTAAATGAAAATAGGGGCTGAGTTACAGTTCACTTAGTAACCTAGCTGAGAAACCTTTGAAAGTTATCCTTAGATCAAAGTATTTACATAAGTTCAAGTTTTTTTCTTCAGATAAAAGGTAGCACAGATCCTTAATCTTTAAAAAGAACATATAAATTAAACCTTTGTTGCAACCAGTCAAAACTTTCAGAAATGTTTCTTAAATATCAAATTTCTCTTCACAGATGCTATGTCCATTTTCTTCATAATCTTCTCTTGTTACCACCATATCTTCAAAATCATCATTCTCTGATATCATTTTTCCTCCTTCCCAGGAATAAGTAATAGGGCTAAAAATAAAGGTAACATAAATGAATCCAGATGATCTTATAAAACTAAAAGGCAAAAAACATTAATTAGTCACTAAAATGTAGCAGTCACTACCTAACAGAAGTCATTAAAGTGTGAAAATAATAATAAACTTCATAGGACTAAAGCAAACTCAGAAAGAAAGGAATCTTTATCAACATTACAAATAGTTCTTCTTTTGATTTTTTTCCCTGTGCTCTGAATCTATAATAATAAAAGCATAATATGCCAATTAGACCAGACAGCCAAACGACCTTCCGGACGGAATACCGGATAACCTTCCAGACAAAGCTGTGGCTGTGAGGGCCAAGCCCATTACATGAATTTCGTGCTTCGGGCCTCTAGTTCTTATAATAGAAAACAAGAATACAAGCAAAAGATCAAAAATACATAAAATGAAAAACACTGTCATAAGTGAGTCTAATTTTAGTATGCAGTAAAGATATGTCATCACACAGCAATATAGTTATTATAACTCCCATTTTATAAGTTTGGAAAATAAGGGCCAGAGAGATTAAGTCTGGAACTAGATTCAACCGGAATTGTTATCACACAGTCCATGCTTTTGCTGCTATACTCTGTTGCCTCTAATAAATGAAACATTTAGAAAACAGTGCAAGATAAACAGTTACATGGTAGGACATGGACAGTAAGTAAAACTAAAGCAAGTTAAAATTTAGTTTGGCTTTGTTTACAAGCAAGGTTATATACTCTGTCTTAACTTAATTCTATTTCTACTGTTCCACTATCCCCAATTCAGTTTCAAATCTAAAACATGAGAAATAAAAAAGTTAATGTTTTCCTTATTGTATTTCCTAATCTTGCCGGGAGAGGAATACACACACACACACACACACACACACACACACAAACATATACGAGCAGATATGCAATATAGATTTGATGAATAAAGAATAAAATTACTTCTGTGCATCCCTTGGCCTGTAATGTGTTTAACTCACACTTAAAATGCAGGATAAGCCCTGGCCAGTTTGGCTCAGCAGATATAGCCTGCAGACTGATGGGTCCCAGGTTCGATTCTGGTCAAGGGCACATGCTTGGGTTGCAGGCTTGATCCCCAGTAGGGGGCGTGCAGGAGACAGCCAATCAATGATTCTCTCTCATTGACGTTTCTCTCTCTACCTCTCTCTTCCTCTATGAAATCAATAAAAATATATAAAATAAATAAAATTCAGGATAAAGCTTGGCCAGTGTGGCTCAATTGGTTGGAGCGTTGTCCCATATACCAAAAGGTTTTGGGTTTGATTACTGGTCAGGGCACATAACTATGTGGTGAGTTCAATCCCTGATCAGGGCACATATGAAAGGCAACCAAGTGATGTTCTCTCTCCCATCAGCGTTTCACTCTCTCTCATTCCCCCTCTAAGATCAATATGTACACTGTAGGAAGAGGATTAAAATAAACAAATAATTAAAATAAAATGCAGGATAAAAATCCAGTATGCTTCATACTGTAAAGAGTATATGAACATCAATGATGATAAGAATAATTTTAATATCTAATGGTAGTTTATTATTTTACCTGATAGCTATGAAATAAGTAATCAGATGAGGGCCTGCTGTAGGTTTTGAAAATTTCTACTTTAGCTTTAAAACAAAACTCTAAAACTAAGTCAGGTATGTGGGGTCTCTGCCACTTAAAACTTGGAAGGGAGCAATTATTAGATGTATGTTTGGTAAGAGATCCTGCCTCCAGGTAAAGAGAACTGGGTTTTGATTTGGTCATTGCTATCAACTCACTGCCTTTGACAACTTATGAATTCTTGCTTCTTCATTTACAAAGTAAGAACACTGGACAGGATGATGTGTAAGCCTTCCTTATAGCTCTAAAATTCTGCCTTAATTGTTTTTACCAGTAAAGTAGAAATGATATCTGCTTTTTCTCATAAAACAGGGTAGGGGAATATACCATATAAAACAGTTTTGAATTTAAGAAAAACTAATTACATTTAAAAGTTAATTTAAAATATTTTAAATTATCTTAAAACATTCCAAAACAACTTATGAACATAACTTACTTCAATGGGTAAATTCTTAAATTTCTATACTTGAGAGAAACTCTCAGGAAACGACACACCTCAAATAACTCAAACAGATAATAACCTAATTGCTTTGCCTATAAAAACTCTTAGGAAAGCCGAAACTGGTTTGGCTCAGTGGAGCGTCGGCCTGCGGACTCAAGGGTCCCAGGTTTGATTCCAGTCAAGGGCATGTACCTTGGTTGCAGGCTCATCCCCAGTGGGGGGTGTGCAGGGGGCAGCTGATCGGTGTTTCTCTCTCATCGAAGTTTCTAACTCTCTCTCTTTCTCTTCCTTCTTTTCTGTAAAAAATCAATAAAATATATATATTTTCAAAAATATCTTAGGAAAGAAGACTGACTTACTATAGGGAATTGATCTCATATTAACAAGTGCCCAACATGTTCTAATCATATGGTGGACATTTCACATACTTCATAACACTGAATCTACTGAAATGGAAGGTTTGTCACTTCAATTTTGTTGTTGTTGTTGTTAACCCTCACCTGAGGATATGTTTTTCATAGCTTTTCTCAGAGAGCTTGGAAGAAAGGGAGGGGGGAGAGGGTAAAGGAGAGAGGGGAGAGGAAGAGAAAGAGAAACATTGATGTGAGAGAAACATATCGATTGGTTGCCTCTCAAATGAGCTCCAACTAGTAGGGGGTTGGGAAGGGGGGGGGGGAGTGAACCTGAAACCCAGGTACGTGCACGTGCCCTTGACCAGGAATTAAACCTGAGATCCTTCAGTGTGTGGGCCGTCACTCTAACCACTGCACCAGTCAGGGCTATCACTTCAATTTTTGAGTAAAGGAAAATGAGGATCCCAAAGGTGAAAGAAACCGACCAACGTGGAAGAACCAGGTTTTAAACTTGTCTGCTTATCCACAGTCCACCTGATCTACAGTCTGCCATGTTTTATGTCTATATGAGCCAACACTTACTTTTCAGGCAGCACAACAGAAACATCATAATCTGTTGGAGTGAGACATCGAACTTCTGAGTAAACCCGATCCCTAAATCCTGGGAAAAGGGAGTTTCCTCCTGTCAAAACAATGTTCCTAAAAAAATGCGGCTGCATTTCTTTAAAAGAAAAAAAGGGAGAATGGAGAGTAAAAAAGGCATTAGAAAATCTGTTTACCTATCTTTATGGAATAATAAGGATGAGGGCTTAGGTGAAAGCAATTAGGGATCACAGGTACTGGTTGGGAAACCATATAATATTTTTATAACCATATAAATTATAAATTTCTGAGATTTTTATAATGATATTATAAATAGATATATTAAACAGAAATATGACCTCTAGATATTGAACAAAGGCTAAGGTGAGGGGCTGAACTATGGGACTACTTACTTTAAGCTATACATATATCAGTAACATTCTATTAGTGGACATTTGATAATTATAGCTATTCTTCCCTAAAATGGGAGGGATCTTTGTGTAGGTTGAGACAGAGCTAGTGAAAGATGAAAAGGAGGTCCTTTGTGACATTTTAACTTCATATTATCTCACTCAGACAGGTATTTGTGTAAGTATTATGCAATAAGTATTTTCACTTAATAGTGAGAAATACTCATAATCTATAATAATATTTAAAGAAAGGATCTTGTTTTGTACTCATTAAAGATACATGATGGAAAACATTAAGTGCCATATGGTTAGCCAGTATTAGAAGCCAACTCAGCACCCCAGGGAAATTTATCAAGAATTACAATACTGAGCCGTCACCGGTTTGGCTCAATGAATAGGACTGAAGGGTCCCAGGTTTGATTCCAGTCAGGGGCACATGCCCTGGTTACAGGCTCGATCCCCAGTGGGGGGGGTCTAGGAGGCAGCCTATCAATTATTTTCTCTCATCATTGATGTTTCTATCTCTCTCTCCCTCTCCCTTCCTCTCTGAAATCAATAAAAATGTATTAAAAAAAAAATTACAATACCGAGTACTGGCATAAAAGAAGGAATGAGTATATATTGACACTGAGTCTCCTGGCATGACATTAAAGGAGTATAGTATAAAATGTTGCATATCTCATGACTGCAACTTTATATAAAGTGTGAAATTAATATGAAATATTAATATGAAAATTGTTGTAAAATAATTATATTAAGCTGTTGGCATTATTGACTTTCTTTTTCATTTTTCCTTTTTTTATTATATAGAAAGGAAAGGATGTTGCATATGCTAGGTTTTCTCCAATGCCTACTGCTCCTTATGAACTAAAAAGACATTTTTAAGATATAAAAGTACTCTAGCACTCAAGAATATTAGTTAAATCAGTGAGATTTAACTAATCTCACTGATTTAACTAATCAGACATCACTCCAAAGTATCATATACTTCAATCTCATTAAAATTGTATCAATCCGAATATAACAAAAAGAATAAACCAATCCTACCAACAGCTGAAAGCCATTTAAGTTGCTAAGTTATAAAGTCATATTCTGTGCAAAGGTGGGTTAAATTAAAACTTTTTCTACAATAAATATGATAATCTAATACTCATGGAGAGAAGAATTTCTTCAAGCTTAAGTGGACCATTATGACTTTTCCCATATGAGATGTAAGATCTGGGACCGATAAAGAATTACTCAAGTATATTATTGGATCTAGAAATCTCTACAAGTAAAAGACTTGCTATTTCCTGAAATTATTTAGAAGAAACAGATGACTTCTCGAATTCACATAAGGTTTTGTAAATATATCATTACTACTCAGTATTTTAACTATGTACCTTCAGGTAAGTTCTGAATTGAATAGACAACAGCTTCTGGAATTCCCATTTCTTGAATTCCTATATCAGAAGGATTAAAGAGTATTTCCGGAACAGCAAATCTCTCATTGGCCAGACGAAGAATTTGTTCCCCAGATTTATATTTTCCACTTAACACCATCTCTTCCCTTGGCTTAAAGTAAGAGATAAAATATTTACTACATTATCTGGATCACATGACAAATAAAATTTAGTAATATGTAATACTAATATATTAACATGTTCCTAGAAGTTTCAGGTTCTCAAAAGTTAGAAATAAGTAGTTTTCTCTCCTGTTGCCTAAACTATACAAATAAATAATTGGTGTTGCTAACATAGCTATTCCCCCAACGATAATCTGGTTTTATTCCACACATTTTAAAACAGAAAGAAAAGAACAGATGAGAGAAAACTTCATAAACTACTTATTATACTGTGATTTCCAGAGAACAAAGAACATACTCTCAATAGAAAACACTTACTGTCTTATGTTTCTTCCCTTATCTACTTTCACTCCCCTATTGCTTATTGAATACTGTAGTTCATTCTATTAGGATATTCCCTTTCCCTTGTGCAAAAAGCCTACATTTTTACATTTATTATTTATTCAATCTCTATTTAAAAGTCTGTTTCCAAATGACTTAAGCAAATATATAGGCATTACCACTGAAATTCTTGTTATTGCTAACCCACCCACCCGTGAGCTGTGTTCTTGAGGAATCAGAGGGGGAAAAAACCCTCCTTCTACAACATCTTACCATCATTAAAATAATATTCCATCTCATTAGCTTTTCTAAATTCAGTTATAGATTTTCACTTCATTTGATTCATATATACAATTTTCCTCCCATAATACAGTATATCCAAATCCTTTATATAGGTATAAAAATACTTAAAATAGCCCTAGCTGATTTTGCTCAGTGGATAGAGCACCAGCCTGCAGACTGAAGGGTCCCAGGTTCGATTCCAGGGTTGTAGGCTTGATCTCCAGTGGGGGGCATGCAGGAGGTAGCCAATCAATGATTCTCTCTCATCACTGATGTTTCTATCTCTCTCTTTCTCTCCATTCCTCTGTGAAATCAATAAAAATGTATTTTAAAAATACTTAAAATATATAAAAAGAAATATCAGCAATTCAGTCCTCCATCAACTGTATCAATATTCATAAAAGGCAAATAACCAACTTCTGTTTATCTCCAGATTTGTCATTCGGCTGACAGTTCTTTTTCTAAATAACTTTAGTGAGACATTTATTAATCACTTATGCACTTGTGCCTGGAAAAATGGCCAACAGAAAGGCAGCCATCAACAATTCTGTTAAGACTACAGAATCCCAGCTGGATGCTTTCCAAATCTGAGGTGGTCACTTGAAGAAATATAATGAGGATTTTTCAAATTACCTTACAGAAGCCCTTTTTAATTGTACTAAAGTCAGGCAAAACATAGTCTATCATCACTGTATTTTCTTCTCCTTTCAACCTGGAAAACAAAATAGAAATTTATGAAATATTTTACTATGTATAACATTCCCAAGAATCAACTTCCCAATTCTTAGAATCCCTTTATACATACTTGGCAATATCCATATCCTTATAAAAATCCTGAGACACATAGCATACATCTTCTTTCACTTGATTAATCACGTGCGTTTCATCCATAACATGTAACTGCCTAAAAAGAAATAAAAATTTTAAATGGAAAAGAGCCCAGAATAGTATAGCTCAGTTGGTTGAGCGCTGTCCTGTGCACCGAAAGGCCATCAGTTCGGTTCCATCCCTGATCAGGACATATGCCTGGGGGGTGGGCTAGATCCCATCCAGGGGAAGGGGTGCAGGAAGCAGCCAATAGATGTTCTCTTTCTCTCTCTTCCTTTCTCTCTCTCAAAAACATATTTTTAAAAATGATATGGAAAATATTTATATATAACTTATAAATATCATTTTAAATATTTTTTTTTGAAATTAAATGTTTAGGTAACTAATTTTTTAAAATAGTAAATTGAATGTGTAAAATATTTGTAACTTTATGGAATACTTATTTCCATTATTATTATTTTTGACTTAAACTCTTATGTTGACACTTGCACATGAATCTCATTTCCCCCTCCTTTGCCCACCACCACCCAGCCACAACCTATTTCCATTATTTTATTTTATCTCCACATCATCCCTGTAAAGGCAAACATAAGTCCAGTTTAAAGAAGGAAACTGAAAACGTGTTAAGGGGTAATGTTTACACAATTAAAGAGCAAACTTTTTCCTTCAACCATTCTGAAAGAATCGTGCTTTTAACTCTGCACTTTCTTTTCTAATTACAAAAGTATTGTGAGTCAGCACACAGTACCTGGCATGTAATGGATGCTAAATAAATATTTAATGAGTAAATTATAAAACCCACAGGCTTAATGTATAAAGATTTATAAAAAACAAAAATTTATAAAGATTTATAAAAAAAACAAAGGTTACTTCCTTTGAATATATAAGATTATATACCTGTTTACTTCTTATGTTTTAGACTAAACATGATCTCATGAACATTTTCTTATGCTATTACATACTCTTTAAAAATTATTTCTGCCAAAACCGGTTTGGCTCAGTGGTAGAGCGGCGATCTGCGGACTGAAAGGTCCCGGGTTCGATTCCGGTCAAGGGCATGTACCTTGGTTGCGGGCACATCCCCGGTAGGGGGTATGCAAGAGGCAGCTGGCCGATGTTTCTCTCTCATCGACATTTCTAGCTCTCTATCTCTCTCCCTTCCTCTCTGTAAAATATCAATAAAATATATTAAAAAAATTATTTCTTATTGCGCTAAAATATTCAATCAGAGTGATCTATTAAAATGTATTTGGCACTCTGACTGGTTTGGCTCAGTGGATACAGTGTCGGCCTGCAGACTAAGAGGTCCCAGGTTTGATTCCCGACAGGGGCATGTACGTTGGTTTTGGGCACATCCCCAGTAGGGGGTGTGCAGGAAGCAGCTGTTTGATGTTTCTCTCTCATCGATGTTTCTAACTCTCTATCCTTCTCCTTTTCTCTCTGTAAAAAAAATCAATAAAATATATATCTTTTTTAAAATGTATTTGGCAATATTTCTAATGTAGGAAATTTAGATCGGGGCGGAAAAGATACCTGGGTATTTATAAACATGGACTTAGGAGCTGGAGACATAGGTTTAATCTTACCTTAGTAGCCAAGTTACTTTACCTTTTTGGGACTCCAACTCTTCAACTTCTAAAAAGGTAATATTGCCAATTTAACATAGCTATAAGTCTATCATCCTAAATATATATATATGTGTGTGTGTGTGTGTGTGTGTGTGTGTATAAAGTGTTTAGATAGTCCCTCTATTCAATAAATAATTATTGCTTCTGCCTTAGCCAGTTTGACTCAGTGGATATAGTGTCAGCTAGCGAACTGAAGGGTCCCAGGTTTGATTCCAGTCCTAGCAGAAGTTGTGCAAGAGGCAGCCAACCAACAATTCTCTCTCATCATTGATGTTTCTATCTCTCCCTCCCTCTTCCTTCCTCTCTGAAGTCGATAAAATTTTATTTTAAGCCCTCACTGGTTTAGCTCAGTGGATAGACCATCAGGCCATGGACTGTGGGGTCCCAGGTTCACTTCCGGTTGAGGGTATGTACCTTGGTTGCGGCTCGAGCCCCAGTAGGGGGTGTGAGGGAGGCATAGAGAGTTAGAAACATCGATGAGAGAGAATCATCGATCAGCTGCCTCTTGCACACCCCCTACTGGGGATGTGCCCAAAACCAAGGTACATGCCCTTGACTGGAATCGAACCTGGGACCTTTCGGTCTGCAGACCGACGATCTATCCATTGAGCCAAACCGGTCCTGGCAGATAATATGATTTTAAATGCTAGAAAGCTTTTCGATTTAAACATCTTAGTATTTATATATGTGATATAGCTTTTAAAGCACTAATCATATAGAAATGCCACCTGAAGTTACAACTAAAGGTAAAGAATAATTTTAAGTTGCTTGAAAAACTTCACTGCCAGCATCCCATCCTCCCAAAGAATAAAAGTTAAGTATTACCTATAAGATATGATCTCCTTTAGATGATTGGTTAAGAGTTTCCCACCCACATTTATCCTAAAAAAGGAGAAAGGAAATTTGAATCAATTTATCACACATTTTTCAGTTTTATTCTAAAAAATAACATAAAAATTTAATGCAGCTCACCGAATAATTGCTTCTTTTTTCTTTTTACTTCTACAATAAGGCACTATATGTGTAAAGGAGTACCCACTATCAACAATGATACAGCATAATTCGGAAGGGTTATCTCGGAAATACCTATGTGCACTGAGAGCCCCGGCTATTAAGAAAAAAAAAGGAAGAGAAAAAGAAACATTGTAATTATTTTAAAGCAATAAAGAAAGGTAGAAACTAAGGCAAAGACAAATGTTTTCTTTTGTTTATAAGAAAAACGTTAACTTATTATACTCATAACTGTCAAAAGTTCTTTATAGTGTTTAAACTCTCAAACATCACTTTTTGTGGTAAATATAAATTTGTGATCAATTTTCAAAAGTAAATATCCATTCCATAGCTTATAAAATTGTTTTAACAGCAGATAATTTTACTGAGCATTCATGACATGTTGGACACTACACTAAACCCCACTGAGTATGTGTGCTTTAAATCTCACAACAATCCTATTTTACAGAAACTGCAGCACACAGAAGTTAAATAATGGCCCAGAGTCATACAATTAGAGCCAACCAGAGCCAAAATTCAAACCTATGCAGCGTGAGCTTCTCAACTTTGAAAATATTGACATCTTGGGCCAGAAAATTCCACGCTGTTAGGGCTGTCCTGTGCATTGTAAGATGTTTAGCAGCATCTGTGTTCTCTACCCACTAGACAACCAAAAATGTCTCCAGACACTGCCAAATGTGCCCTGAGGAGCAAAATCACCTTTGTTGAGAACACTGTTCTAGAGATTCTGCTCTTAACCATAATTCTGCTCTTAGTACTAGAGGACCAGTGCATGATTTCGTGCATGGGGGCGGGAAGAGGTGGGGGGCACTGGGGGGAGGGGGTCCCTCAGCCTCGTTTGTGCCCTCTCAGTCCCCTGGCCTGTGGGGATCGGGTCTAAACCGGCAGTCGGACATTCCCCGAGGGATGTAGCAGTGCACCAAGCAGCAGGCGGATAGGGAGGAGCCAGAGCCTAGGCCAGGTGCTGCGCTGCTTGCTCTCATCCCGGCCCTGGCTGCACCTGCCGCTGCTGCTCCGTAGCACTACCACCACCAGCTACACTCACCAGCTGTGAGCCTGTCTTCTGGCTGAGAGACACTCTCCCTGTGGAAACACACTGACCACCAGGGGGCAGTTCCTTCATTGAGTGTCTTTCCCCCAGTGGTCAGTGCATGTCATAGTGACCAGTCAACTTGTCATTTAGGCTTTTATAGATATAGAATGTTGCTTTATACAACTTTAATTCTGGAAGCTAGAGTACTGTACATTCATTGTACAGCCTTTAATGTAATTCTAACCTTTATTAAACTTACTCCTGGATGATAGTGACAGAATCTATGTTGGCAATCTGACTAACATTTTTTCAATCAATTCTATATAATAAAGATGTAATATGCAAATGGTTGTTAGGCCGTGAAGCGTATTGACTATCCACGTAACAACCGGATCATGGATCAGCGGGAGGGTAGGGCAGTGCGCTATGAGGGGGTAGGAGGAGGGAGCTACAATAGAGCGGGGCAGAGGGCGGAGAGCTACTGGAGGGCAGCAGTGAGCTACTGGCGAACTACTGGTGCACAGATTCATGTGTGGGGCTACTAGTAATAATTATAATAACAAGCATATCTGTAACAAAAGATAACTACCTCAGAAACAATAATCTTTCATAGATATATATGGCTAATAACTTCATTAGGGTGAAATATTATATGAATATAAAGATAAAATGAGAGAAATCTGACTAATCTCTAAGGATTCATCTAGTTTTTAAATTCCATGTTTTATTTTTTTCAAATCTGAAATAATATTCTTGGATTTTAAGTGTTCATTTACCCTATTCATATCCATATTCACATAACTCAATTTCAACCAAAACTTTAACTCACCATTTACTCTTAATACTGCTTGGAACTGGTATTCTTCAAATAAAATCTCATTCATTGATTCTTGAATAGAAGTAAAGTTAAAATATGGTTCTGTGATAATAACATTAGTATCTAAAAAATCAACCTAAAAGAGAGAAAAAAATCCCAAAAATTTTATAACTTTGTGTTAAAATTATAAACATATTTCACATATATGAACAGACTTATTTTAAACTCACAATAATCCTAGACTTATTTTAAAATCACAAAATCTTATTAATTGAGTATAATAAGACTGATCTTATTATACTCAGTTAATAGCTGAGCAAGTCGGGACCGGTTTGGCTCAGTGGATAGAGCGTCGGCCTGCGGACTGAAAGGTCCCGGGTTCGATTCCGGGCAAGGGCATGTGCCTTGGTTGCAGGCACATCCCCAGTGGAGGATGTGCAGGAGGCAACTGATCGATGATTCTCTCTCATCGATGTTTCTAACTCTCTATCCCTCTCTCTTCCTCTCTGTGAAAAATCAATAAAATATATTAAAAAAAAAAAAAATAGCTGAGCAAATGGAGAAAACTGAGAGTTGAGTAAGTTACCAACGTTCATATAACTAGTGACCAAGGCTTTGAACACAGGAAATCTGGTAACTATTATTAAATTTTAACTGTCTTAATAGTAGCATTTAAGAAAGTGGTATTATCAAATTGTTTAAATATAATTATGCAAAAGTAATGAATAACTATAAGCATTAAGGCTACTGTTATTTTGCTTTTAAATGTTAAAAGGCTAGAAGCTTGAGGATATTTAATGTGTACATAATTCTCTACCACCCATTCTTAAGCAGCATTAACATTTGAACATTTTCTCTATATACTTAAATTCACACTATGGACATTATAAGCACAAATTTCTCATATTGTAATATTCACACATTCAAATATTTAGGCAAAAACATTTCATTGTGAAAATAAAAATAAGATACTAAATTAGCCTAATAATAGAAATCTGAAGTAACTTTTAATCTTGAGTTTCATACAGAGTATCTCTTATCAACCTCAAATTCCACTTCAATACGGAAATTCTATTCACTTGCACTTATCATATAGAAAATCAAAGCCACGCACAGAATATTTAGTGACTTAAACATATATCTGAAGCATATTCAAAAGTTTATAAACCTTAAAATATAAACTAATTTTTCATTTGAGTAAGACTTGGAAATAAATCTGAATACATACTCCAGTTTGTTACCTGATACATTTCTTTTCCAAAAAGGTAATCCCAAACTTGTCTTTGAACATCCCAATTCACCAAGTAACCCTAAAAAATTTTAAAATAAAATTTAATCATCAAAAATATTTGAACAATTAATAAAAGTCAGATTAATATATTCTAAATTGCTGATTTCTGTCTCGTTATGGTTACCTTCACCAGTCTAATGATGTTTGAATTTCAAACTAATTATGTTTTTCTCCTTTTAAAAGTTAAAAAAAATTACAAGTCAACACTATCAAAAGTGTCAAGGTTTCAAAAGATGTAACAATAAGTACAGATGCTTTTCTGTGCTTATTTTCTTTAATGTATTCATCTCATTTAGTTTTAAGGCAAACAAGTAAAATTCAGTACCCATACCTACAATTAGTAACTAAATCATGGGTTGGTCATTTATTCATTTTTTTTTTTGGGGGGGGGGGGATGAGAGGGAAAAGGAAACACTGATTTGCTGTTCCATTTATTTATGCACTCATTGGTTGATTCTTGTTGTGCCCTCACCTGGATCAAATCCACCACACTGGCAAATTGAGACAACACTCTAACTAACTGAGTTACCCAGCCAGGGCATGGTCATTTATTTTATTTTATTTTTATTTTGTTAATCTTCATGCGAGGATATTTTTCCATAGATTTTTAGAGAGTGCAAGGGAAGGAGGGGGAGAGTGAGAAACACTGATTAGTTGCCTCCTGAACACACCTCAACTGGGGTGGGGGGACAGAATCTGAAACCCAGGTACATGCTCTTGACTGAGAATCAAACCAGAGACCCTTCATTGTGAGGGCCAATGCTCTAACCACCGAGCACACCGGCCAGGGTGGTCATTTATTTTTAATAGGACACTTTAATTTCAAGTTTGGGTTTTATATAAGATCTTATTTAAAACTTAGCTCTGGCCAGTGTAGCTCTGTAAATTGGGCAATCCATGGACCAAAAAAAAAAAAAAAGATTGCCAGTTCATTCCTGGTCATGGCACATACAGGGGTTACAGGTTCAATCCCCAGTAGGGAGCATGCAGAAGGCAGCAGATCAGATTCTGCTCTCACAATGAATTTCTTTCCCTTTCCCTTCCTCTCTTTTTAAAAATCAATAAAAACAGCCAGGACCGGTTTGGCTCAATGGATAGAGCTTCGGCTTGGGGACTGAAGGGTCCTGGGTTCGATTTCGGTCAAGGGCATGTACCTTGGTTTCGGGCACATCCCCAGTAGGGGGTGTGCAAGAGGCAGCTGATTGATGACTCTCTCTCATCGATGTTTCTAACTCTCTCTCTCCCTTCCTCTCTGTATAAAATCAATAAAAGATATTTTTAAAAATCAATAAAAACATTTTTTAAAAGAAAAATTTAATGGCATTTTTTATTTTTACTTTTGCAAAAGAACATTTATTAAGTAAATTACAAAGGTAGACAAAGTAATTCCTAGAAGTAATGGCTTAGGAAACAAGTTATGAAAGTAAAGGAAGGGCCCTTGGAGCTTGGAAGTGAGGAAGTTAATGGTAACATGCCTGGGCCGGGAAGGGGAAGGGGAAGGGGAGGAGATGGGGAAGGCCTGGCATGCTCCGAGGAGGGAGCGCGCCTAAATGACATATTTTAGAAATCTAAAGATATTTCCATACATGCAAAATCTTACATATACATTTAACATTATCTTTAAATTTGGGTCTGTAATGCTAGAAATGGCATATAATTGAATTACCTTCTGAAAAGGAAGGATATAAAAGAGTCCAGAAGGGTCCTTTATTTCTTCTATCTGGTTAGCAGTAAAAGTTTTAAGACGTGCTGTTTTTGACCTGAACTGACAGTTAGGAATAACCCTGTAAACAAAGAATCAAGTAATATAATTATTCCCTAAATACTTAGTTGCTATGAATACTTTCACTTCACCACCACCCTGGATGCCAGAAAAATATCCAAAACCAGTGTTTCTCATTGTCTTCACACAATAAAAAGTGTCTTTTTTTTCCCCCCCAAAGGGTTAATATATTATACAATATATATCGGTTATATACTGGACCCTTTTTCTTTCGCAAATACTCCTCAAGATACCTTTACAGGTGGGTATTGTTCCTGCCACCACACAGATAAAAGGGCACCTAGGTAAAGTTCCTGGTCTTTCTGGCTTTAATTCATAAATTTTAAATAAAATTCTGGTAAAACGTTTACTAGTACAAGTTCAAAATTCTGGCGGTAACATCAAATTTCCATAAAGTCAAAATATTCAATCAGTAAGATGCTTTGGGTACAGAAGTAGGAAGTAGTAATATGGTTGTGTCTACCATGAGCTTACAATCTATTTAGGAAGACAAACTAGATCCATTATCAGCACAGGCTTTTCTCTATGCTTAAATACATGATTTTTTAAAAGCTGCATGTAATCAATCTTATGGTTGTATTGCAATTTTAATAAATCTGGCATTCTTGATTATTTAGCATCCTTCCTTAATTTTTGCTAACCACACACAGTGGCTATAAATCATTCAGAGCATCCTGTATTTATTGTTCTCAAGCATCTCTGATTGATTCCTTAGGTAACTGGTAACAGAATTGCTGAGTCAAAGAATAAAAACAACGATACACATGCCTAAAATATTTTCCAGAAGACTGAAAACAATTTACATTCCTGAGCAGTTCAATTGTCCTTTTTCAAAAGAAAACGGAAAGGACAAGAAAAACACACCCCTCTGTGAATGACAAAAGAAAAGCGTGTCTTTAAAACTGTTTATTCTTTATGCAAACACATATACAGTATCTGATAAATGCTATGGTAGTATTTGTTTAATGGACTCTACTGGTATAATGGAGGTCAGCCAATGAGCACTTCGAAGGGCTTAGACACAAGCTTTGGAGTTCTCCAGCTACTAAGACCGTGGTTTTTACATTTCTGGGGGTCATAAAACCCTCCGAGAATAGGAAGCAAGCTGTCAACCTGTCTCTAAGAAAACGCATTGGCCCACGACTCCTGCAGATCTGCAACCCTTTTTAACAGAGCAATTTCTGGTTACAAAACAAAACACATGTCCCGCCAAAACCGGTTTGGCTCAGTGGATAGAGCATTGGCCTGCGGACTGAAAGGTCCCAGGTTCGATTCCGGTCAAGGGCATGTACCTTGGTTGTGGGCACATCCCCAGTGGGGTGTATGCAAGAGGCAGCTGATCGATGTTTCTCTCTCATCGAAGTTTCTAACTCTCTATCCCTCTCTCTTCCTCTCTGTAAAAAATCAATAAAATATATTTTTAAGAAAACAAAACAAAACAAAAAAAACACGCCCCACTTCCGGGGCCTCACAGACCCAAATTAGCATCTAAATTCCAGTTCAAAGTTTCCCCCCCAGCTCCCTCCCAGGAGGAGGGCATCCCCTTGGGCTCAGCTCGCGGCCGCGGGGACGGGCCTGGTCCTGACGTCCCAGAGACGAAGCGCAGGAAGTGCCGTGTTCCTCGGTCAAAACCAACACTTACGAGACATTCTCGTGGCTGTAACCGATTTTGGCGTTGTAGGCTCCGTTATCCAACACCAACGTCGTCATCTTAGCCCGAAACGCAACGCCTTTTCGGTCTCTTTCCGACCCTCCTCACGTTTTCTTCCGGCACGCTGCGGCCCGCGTGGGCGGAGCTGGAGGGCGCGCTTCCTGTATCCCTTAGCAACGGAGGACGCCGGAAGCGGGAGCCAGCTCAGCCACCGGCTCTGCGGCCAGAGTCGGTACTGGGCGTTCCAGCCTCACCCGTTTGGAAAAGTCGTGGCGAGACCGAAGAAGACTGGACTCTGCTCAATGCTTTCCGCCCACTTCGAATTTGGCCTTTACTACTTCAAAGTTTGACTCGCTACGGCAACCTTCTTTCTAACCCCTGTTGCAAACCAGCTGTGTGTGTGTGTGTGTGTGTGTGTGTGTGTGTGTGTGTGTGTGTTCGGATAGTGTTCAGACAGTGACAATCGTGTAGAATAAATTGCAAAACCATACTCAGCATGGAATTAGGTGTGAGGTCTCTTCCGCCCCATTCCCCTCCATTGCCCATCCTACTGTAGGATCCAATTACCCTGAATTACAAATATGCTGTTGGTCAATGGCCTTGCATTTTTACCCACACTCACAACTTCCTCTGTTTACTTGTTCTTCAGGACAGAGCTCTGTATCTTTAAAAAAAAAAAAAAAAAAAAAAAAAAAACCTTCCCGACATTTGCTGAAACTGGTTTGGCTCTGGATAGAGGGTAGGTCTGTGGACTGAAAGGTCCCAGGTTTGATTCCTGTCAAGGGCTTGTGCCTTGGTTGCGGGCACATCCCCAGAGGGGGACATGCAGGAGGCAGCTGGTCCATGTTTCTCTCTCATGGATGTTTCTATCTCTCTGTCCCTCTCCCCTCCTCTCTGTAATAAAATATATTTTTAAAAAAACACCTTCCCGACATTTGACATACCTCCTCTTCGTCCTCCTTCCTAAAATGAGGTGCTCCTCCTGTGAGTTCCTGTGATGTCCTTAGCTAACTCCTGAATATCACAATGACTAAGAGAACGATTGAACTCCTGAGGGGATACTTGGCATATTAAATATATATATATATATATATTGGTGTGCCCCAAGTTAGAAACTTCAACTATTTTCAACTCCAATCTTTGACTTAATCTCTGGAATCTGTCATCTCTACTAATATTGCCTTATCTCTCACCTAAAATAATGCCTCCTGCATGTTCAATGCTCTTCCTCCCTCTGTTCTTTTATCATTGTGTTCTATCCTCTGTACTGGCAGCAGTTACCAGAAATTGTTTTTCTAAAACAGAAATCCAACCCTCCTCCCCAATTTCACTCTCTGTAGAAGTCTTCCGTGGCTTGACATTGCCTATGTAATAATGTGCATGCATTTGCAACCTCACCCCCCCTTAACCATCTTACAGTGTGTGCTAGTAAATGTATAACAACCAGATCTTCAGAAAATGAGATCCTGATGTGTAGTATTTATCACTGTGTGCAGAACAAATGCCATCACAACGGACATTTACAATCTATCCTGAAGTCACCAAACAACGAATACAGCGTCAGAAAGAAATGCACACAGTTGGTTCCATGAGCTGGTATAGGCCAGCTTCAGCACGGACTGTTCAGTAATAGCTCCGACCTATCCGCCTTCACACTACCTACTCTCTCCTCCCAAGTTTCAGCACAAACAATCTCAAGCTCATAAGTACTACTTTTCAAATATGTACTTTGGCAATCTATAAATTTAAAACAATTAAAAACACGTCTCTCCTATAAATATGTAATAAACATGTGCAACGTACTTATTTGTTATAATAATGACTGGGGGAAATTTTTAATGCATTGGTTTTAAAGAGGGAGTGAGACAGAGAGAGAGAAACATCCATTTGTTGTTATACTTACTGATTCATTCATTGGTTGGTTCTTGTATGTGCCCTGGGAGGGATTGGTATATCAGGACACCCACAGCCTTGGGGCACCAGGACAATGCTCTAACCAACTGAGCTACCCAGCAAGGCCTTAGTGAATGGCTTTGTACCCTGCCTGGTTGGTTCTTACATTAATATTGAGAGGGTTAACTTGAATCGGAGGCGGACAGGGCAAGGATCCAGTGGGAAAACAAAGGCAGGTGAGGTGGGACGCAGCCAGGGGTAGATGTGGCAGTTTGAACCGTCCTAACCGCAGGAACCAACCAAGTGGAAAGAATAAAATGTTTCTGGACTCAGGAGGCATGGGAAAACAAGGGAGGGCCTGTGGCAGCAAGATGTACGAACGCACAGAAACGGGAAAAGTTCAGGTCTGCTGCTTGTCAAAAAACAAAACAAACAAACAAACAAACAAAAAAAAAAAAACCCCTGAAGGAATCAATCAGGTGATGACACAGGTACAACACAGAGCAGGCTGGTAGCAAATATTTATCTCTGACTACAAGGCTTTAACGGGCAGCCCACCCTTGGGTCTCCCTCTCCTGCAGGGAGTCTGAAACTGCTTGTAATAAATTTTCCATTCTTCTGCTTAAATCTTCTCATCCATGGAGCTCATGCTTCGGCGTCAGGAGACAGGAGCCTGGGGAAAAATGCCTCAGCTCACCATTCTGGTTATCAATGTAAGTTAATAAATCTTTGATGCATGTTTATTATATATTTGTATGGCAATCATGATTTTAAGTTTTTTAAAAATATATTTTTATTGATTTTTTACAGAGAGAAAGGAAGAGGGATAGAGAGTTAAAAACATCGATGACAGAGAAACATCTATCAGCTGCCTCTTGCACACCCCCTACTGGGGATGTGCCTGCAACCAAGGTACATGCCCTTGACAGGGATCGAGCCTGGGACCCTTCAGTCTGCAGGTCGATGCTCCATCCACTGAGCCAAACTGGTTTTGGCATGATTTTAAGTTTTTGAAAATTTGATAATTAAATGTCAACTAATGAAAAATGTAAATTAATTTGAAACACCGAATTTATGATGGTTTTGACATTATGTGTTAACTCAATCCAAGGAGTGTAAAATTAAAATTATTACCACGTATTTTCTCAATAACAAGATACTTCAGCTACATTTATTAATCTGTGGGGTTTATTGATACTTATTACTTTGGAAAAAAATCTGCATTTTGTTCTAGCCAAAGCATGATGCCACTTGCCATTTAGAAGCCATGAACTTTGACGCTTGTCTTTTTTCATAATTGTGTTTCATTTGTGTGAAACATCTTTTCCGGCCTTGTGAATTAATCATAACAGCTACCATTCTATTGTACCTGGGATTCTCTAAGAACATTACTTTCATTTGCTTGGTTAATCCTCCCAACAACCTCATGAAGATAAATAGCACCTTGAAGCTCAGCGGTTCTTTTCCTAGAATCCCATACCTAAAAACCTACAGGACTAGTTTTAAAATGCAAGTCTGACCTCAGAGCCAGTTCTTTCAATACATTAAGTTTCATGCTCATATTTTATTTTATTTATTTTTAAAATATATTTTATTGTTTTTTTGCAGAGAGGAAGGGAGAGGGATAGAAAGTTAGAAACATCGATCAGCTGCCTCTTGCACATCCCCTACTGGGTTGAGAACAAGGCTGTTAACTCTTTGATGATGCTGCCAACCAGGGTACATGTCTTTGACCAGAATCGAACTCAGGACCTTTCAGTCCACAGGCTGATGCTCTGTCCACTCAACCAAACCGGTTCAGCTCGTATTTTAAATAATATCTCTATTGTAAGTCTGTCTCTGATTCAACCAGATAGAATTAAATCACTCTCTCTTCTGTGTTCTCATAGTACTTTGTTTCTGTTTTCAATTATGCTAATAATAATAGCTTTTATCACTTAATTTTGTATTTTTATTCCCCCCACCCCAAGTAGTTTATCTGGGCAGGCCAGAGGTCAGGGCGGCCCTGCATCTGAAAGAAGATGTTGGCTCTCTTGGTAGTGAAGGGTGGTTTGTGCTAAGGACTAAGGACCGGTAGGGCAGCAAAAACTTGAACTTGGAACTGCTTGACTGCCAATGGTCTGCACTTGCGGGCCACAATCTTCTTTCTCCATGATCTGGATTAAGGGGGCACCCAAGGTGCCAGGCCCCCAAATCTGGGTCTGCAGGGAGCAGGAGGGGGCAGGGTGGATGTTCACTAGGCTGAGTAGACACTCCCTTTATATGCATAATCTCATTTAATCCTCATAAAATTCTAAGTTAGGTATCATTACTCCAGTAGTCATATGTGGTAACTGAGGCTGAGAGATATAAATAACTTGTCCAAGTTTACACAGCTACAATGCGGCTGAGCCAGCATTTGAACTAGTCTAATGATAGAGCTCAAGGTCTTAGCATTAGTAATTGACCTTCTACACAAGGCTGTTAACTCTTTGATTACAGGAACATTTGTTTTTATTTAGACATCCCTAGTTATTTGAATAATACTCGGTTTATAGTACATGATAAATGTTAATTGAGTAAGTAGTCAATCCATATATATCTCCTTTCACTCTTCACTTCTTCAAAATGTTGGACTATGTGTAAATACACTCTTCCCCCTCCCCGCCCATGTCTTCCTGATACATCCCTCAGAGGTCGTGTAATTTCTATTCCTCTTTTAAACATCACTGGGTGGTCATTTTCACATCTGAAAAATGTTGGTTTAGGGTTGGGTGGAGTAGAGGTGCAGAGTTGTGATAGTTCTCCATGCTATTTCAACAATTTCCTTCCTTTTTATAGAAATTTTCGAGTGAAATTTTACATCTTTATTTCTTTAGATACAACATCCTAATGAAGTAAGGCTGATATTATAACTCATTTTATAGATGATTAAACTGGGGCTAAAAATAAGAAAAGTAATTTCTCCGGGTTAACTCAGCTAGAAAATACTAGAGCCAGAATTTGAATTTGGGCCTTTTAATTCCCAGGTCCTGGACTCCATTAGAGCATGTTGTCAACTTTTACTTCCGTTAGGATTGGAAATCACCGCATGAAACATTATAGCACTTAGCCAGGAAAGCAGACTAGCTTAGCCAAGGAAAAGAAACTGAGGCAAGAACATAAAGAGCCCTAGCTGGTTTGGCTCAGTGGATGAGAGAGTGTCAGTCTGCGAACTGAAGAGTCCCAGGTTCCATTGTGGTCAAGGGCACATGCGGGCTTTGATCCACAGCAGAAGACATTCAAGAGGCAGCCAACTGACTAATGATTCTCTTCTTATCATTGATGTTTCCATCTCTCTTTTCCCATCCCTTCATCTCTGAAATCAATGGGGATAAGCTGAGATGTTTGTGGAACAAATTCATAGGAAATTAAAAAGGGAAGACATGGCAGGAGACTCAGGGATGGAGACAAGAACAAGAACAGCCATAACCGGTTTGGCTCAGTGGATAGAGCGTCGGCCTGTGGACTGAAGGTTCCCAGGTTCGATCCCGGTGAAGGGCATGTACCTTGGATGTGGGCACATCCCCAGTAGGGGGTGCGCAGGAGGCGGCTGATTGATGTTTCTAACTCTCTATCCCTCTTCTTTCCTCTCTGTAAAAAAAAAATCAATAAAATATTAAAAAAAGAACAGCCGAAACTGGTTTGGCTCAGTTTATAAAGCTGGGCCTGCGGACTAAGGGGTCCCAGGTTTGATCTGGTCAAGAGCACGTACCTTGCTTTCGGACACATCCCTAGTGAGGGTGTGCAGGAGGCAGCTGATTCATGTTTCTATCTCATCGATGTTTCTAACTCTCTATCCCTCTCCTTTCCTCTCTATAAAAAATCAATAAAATATATTGAAAAAAAATAAAAACAAGAACAGAGGAGGAGAAGGTTTTGGATTGGGAGTCAAAGCACCCAATAGCATCAGGGCAGCAGCTGAGTAAGGATAAGGGCTGCAGGGCAGCATACCTTCCAGTCTCTGGAACCTGAGTTGCCCCGCCTCTCCTCGGTGTGGCCCCGCCTCTCCTAGCTTTGGCCCCGCCCACACCACAAGACCCCGCCCCACCCGCACGCCCCGCCCCCGGCCCTTCTCGCCCCCGCGCTCCCCCAGGTGATGCTGCAGCCAAGATGGCGCCGGCGGTGCTTGCGGCGGCCTGAACGAGATGTTCCCGGCCCGCGGCTGTGGCCTCGGCCAGGGCCTTGGCTCTCTCCCCGGCGTGAGCACTCAGGCGCCCCTCCTTCTGCCGGGTTAAGCCGGACCCAGAGGAGGCGGCCCCGAAGAGAGGAGGCAGCGAGGACCCGAGCGGAGCGCGCGGCGCCTCCCGCCTCGGCACCATGGCGGGGCTCATCAAAAAGCAGATTCTCAAGCACCTCTCCAGGTCGGTGAGAGCCCCGTCCTGCCGGGGCAGCCGTGCCCTCGGGGACCGGGACGGGGACGGGGACGGCGGGGACCGGCCGCCGTGCGAAGGCGACCCTGCCTGGGACTGACTCTCGCTCCGGTCGGTCCCGCACCTCCCGCCGCCCGCGGCGCCCGGGGCCGGCTTCCCGGGGGGATCCCAGGCGGAGAGAGCCGACCGCCGGCGGGGGGACCGGGGGAGGCGGCGGCTGGGATCGCCCGGCACAGCGTCCGGGGGAGGCGCGGCTGGGATCGCCCGGCACAGCGTCCGGGGGCGGCCGGGGACACCTCTCGGCGGTCCCGGCGGCGGAGAGGGGGGATGATGCCAGCGTCACCCCGGTGCGGGGTGCGGGGTGGCCCGGACCCGGGCTCGGGCTCGGGCTCGGAGCACAGGTTCCGTTAACCGAGGGCAGAGGCTCGTCTTCTCCGGGAAACGATAACCTTGTTATTGCGCCGCGGTCACCCTCCTCGCCGTTCCCGCTCCGATCGAGAGGGTGTGCCGGTTTGTTTGCACAGTTAGGATTTGCGTTAGGTCAATAGCCAGGGCTCCCAGCTCTCGCTACCACAAGCTCTTTCTGAAGTCCGTTTAGCCCGCGTCATTCTTACAGAAGTGTTTTTGTTTTGTGGGCTTTTTTTTTTTCTTTTTTAAAACACGAGACCCATAAATTTCACGGAGTCAACATCGGTGGCGATAAACCCAAGACTTGTTCTTTCCATTTCCTAAGCGGTTTTAGACAGAAACATGACTCAGTAGGGCTGGCAGTTTGTTTGCTGCTCCTGGCTTTTCCATATTTGTCTCAGGGGCAGGCTTTAACTGTAAGATCTGGTTTCCAAGTTGTTAACCGCGGGTCCAAAGCGCTCGGTTATGGCACTTTTTTCTCTGTTATTGGTCTGTAACTTAATTGATTACTTTGAACTCATTGTAAGGGAAAGACTTGGGTACGATGACTTGATTCTACAAATCGTTGTATAGCACAGGTTATAGGTAGGGGTACAACAGTATTTCTGTGATTCAGCAAATATTTTCCTTATCACATTAAATAAGGCATGTTTTTTAAAGGAACACATAGTAGCGTTTATGAATATACATTTCTCAGAAATTACCACTAATTAAAAAGTTTCTTTTAAAATTGTACGTATGGCCCATATGGACAACTTACTTTTGGAAGAAGGTTTTAACTTTATTTTTAATTGCTTAGTAAGGTAATGTCTGATTTATCAGATGTCCTTCAGCCTCTCTTATATTACTTACATCCACAAGAATATTCAGACCTACAGAAAAATGATTTGAATTCTCTTTTCTCACGCTTCCAGGGGTGAGAGTACGCATTTCCATTCTAGATGCAAGGGAGGAAAGTTCACTCAATCAGGGAGTGCCTTAGACTTAGAGCATTCGAGTTTCATTCTCCGGCAGAGCAGTTGAGAAGGGCTCTTAAAAATTAATAGCCAAGGTAATGGCTTGCTTCACAAAATAGACAACACCCACATATTTATTGTTTGTATGATCTCTAATATGTATTGTGAATAATAGGGAGGATTTTTTTTTCCAGAAATGAGTTTTTGAAACGTTTTTATTTCATATTTCAAAACAACTTAGGTGATTGAAGAATAGCAAATTTATATTCTTGGATAATCTTGCTCCTACTGCTGTCATCGTTATGATGTTATTTATAAATCTAAAGGACAGAAGTAGATAAAATAAGATGATAAATACTAGTTACTTAAGTAGTGATGAACTTTGAAATTACCTGGGCCAAGCTTAATTTTACAAGTTATCTGGCAATGAAGATGTCACTATATTGATGTGATTATGTGGCATACAGTTTAATACAGTTGAAAAGCAAATGCTTAAGCATATTACCTTCCAATAATAGGCATTTCATGCGACCAGTGCAGGCACCCATGGCACCTTCTCCAAGGAGGCTTTACCTGACTGACCACACTTTTCTATAGCATTCGTTCATCCTTATCTGTCATGCTGTGTATTTGCTGTTTGTCTGCTGCACTTGAATGTAAACTCCATGATGGCAGGGATTTTTGTTTTGAGTCTAGCGTAATGTACACTCAACCACTATTTTTAAAAATTCCCACCAAGGATATGCTTTTTATTGATTTTAGAGAGAGGAGGGGAGAGAGGGAGAAGGAGAGGGAGAAAAAGAGGGAGAGAGAGGGGGAAAAAGAGAAGAAAGGAGAGAGAGAGAAGGAAGGAGGGAGGGAGGGAAGGAGAGAGAGAGAGAGAGACAGACAGACAGACAGACACAACTGGGGAATCTAATATGTGTCCTGACCCATAAACAAAGCCACCACCCTTCCGTGCATCGCATGATGCTCCAGCCAACTGAGCCACACTGGCCAGGACAAGTGTTTTTTGAATGAATGAATGAATGAATGAATAGCACCAATCAATCAACTGACTCCCTGACACTCCCTCACATTGCCCCCCCCCTTTTTTTTAATAACTGAGGCAAAACTCTATGCCACTTATGCTATGGTTTTTAGGAAGCAACGTGTAGTTGAATCATTGAATAAATGTGATGTTTATGGTGTCCTAGAAAAGGAGGACTAGGAAAATGACTCTTCATATATAGGTTGTCTTCCAATAAGGAAGAAGGCTCTCTGGAAACCAACAAGAACCAACGTACTCCGAGCTTTGAGATTGAAGTATGGTGAAATTATAAAATCAAAACCAGTCTTACCTTAATATGGGCGCAGGAGAAACTGGCTTTGAGTAAATGCTGAACTATTTGAGTTGTTTAAATCTATACACGTGTTCTTTGCCTAATTGTTTATTTTCTGTCCTAAGCATGTTTGTATACTTGGAGCTTATCTGAAACTGACAGTTACCGGGGTGGGAGAGAAGGTGGGAGAGACAGAGAATGCCATTTGTGTATGTGGTGGGGTGGGGGTTGGAGTCCTTACATTTTAAGAGAAGTGAAACAGGAAGTCTTTGAAGGAGAAATTACTCTGATCTTTCAGACCGTAATTGGCACAACATATGCTTTGGAAGCTTTCCTAGGAGTGTCCTTTTTCACAAGGGAATGGAAAGTTCTAAAGAAAGTTATAACAAGTATCAGAAAGGAAATAAGAGCAGGAGCTACCTTTTAGCTCAAAGCCTCATTATCTTTTACTGTGTAAGTGCTGTGCTTGAGCAAAGGCGAGAGGTAGGCGGAGAGAAGCTGGAAGATGGGGTATATTTAAGCTAAGACCTAAAAAGGGGTAGAGAAGATTCGGAAACAAATGCTTCCCCTTCACCTCTGGCTCCAGGCATACTGTAATGGGCACAGGGTTTACAGTGGGTGGGAGTTGGCAGGACAGACACTGCACCTAAGTGGAGCCTTTGTATAGTTCTCAACCAGAGGTGATTTTGCCCCTCGGGGGAAATTTGGCAATGTCTGGAGACATTTCTAAATGTCACAACTGGGGTGTTGGGAAGGGGGTGAGGGGTGGTTAAGGGTACTATGTCTCGGGGTTAGAGGCCAGGCATGCTATTAAACATCCTCACAATAAAGTATTTGGTCCAAATGTAAGTAGTTTTGGAGGTTGAGAAACTGGTTTAAATTGTATACATGTATGTCAGATGATTCAACTAGGGTTACTATGCTAGTGAAAGTTATTTTGTCTGTAAACAACAAAACCTTGCCCTGTTTAACTTAGTTAAAAAGTTAAATGTAGCCAAAGCTGTTGAGGTAGGTCATGGAATAAGGGGAAGGTCTAGACTAGAGCTAGCCAGCTCCTGGAACCTTGTGAAAGAGATCTTGGACTTCAGCACTGTTGACATTTTGGACAAGATAATTATTTATTGTGAAGGGCTCTTTTGTATGTTGTAGAATGTTGAGCAATATATCTAATATCCACCCCACTAGATGCCTGTAGCCACTCCTACAGTCTTGACAATGAAACATGCCTCCACACATTGCTAAATGTCCCCTGGGGGCAAAAAGGCTCTTGGTTGAGAACCACTGCTTTAGGGTGCTATCCCATCTCTCACAACTCTGATCTGTGATCTTTCCTGTCAAGTTTCAGATTCCTGGGAGAGAGAATCTATATGGCCCAGCTCTGTTTATCCATTGGTCTGTTAGCAATGGCAAAGAATTATAGGTACAGTAAAGATATGGTCATGGGAAGATCTAGTATTTTGAGCCAGGTTTGTTGTCTTTATTTTTATTTTTATTCTTTAATTTATTTTTTGTTATTTATTAAATTATTATCTGTGTATATATCTTACCATTGGCGCCCCCCCCCTTTCTTCCCATACATGCCCTCCCTCCCCAGAGTTTTGTGTCCATTGGTTGTACTTACAATACATGCATGTATACAAGTCCTTCGGTTGATCTCTTATCTCCCCTAGATCTCCCTCTCCTCCCCGCTGTAATTTGACAGTCTGCTTGTTGCTTTACTGTCTCTATATCTATCTTTTGGTTCATCAGTTTACAGTGTTATTTATTATCCATAAATGAGTGAGGTCATGTGGTGTTTCTCTTGACTGGCTTATTTCACTCAGCATGATGTTCTCCAATTCTGTCCAAGTTGCTGCAAATGATAAGAATTTCTTCTTTTTATGGCAGCATAGTATTCCATTGTGTAGATGTACCATAGTTTTTGGATCCAATTCTCTGCTGACAGGCACCTAGGCTGTTTCCAAATCCTAGCTATTGTAAATTGTGCTGCTATGAACATAGGGGTGCATATATCCTTTCTGATTGGTGTTTCTAGTTTCTTGGGATATATTCCTAGGGGTGGGATTACTGGGTCAAATGGGAGTTCCATTTTCAGTTTTTTGAGGAAACTGCATACTGTTCTCCACAGTGGTAGCACCAGTCTGCATTTCCACCAGCAGTGCACGAGGGTTCCTTTTTCTCCGCAACCTCGCCAACATTTGTATTCTGACAGGTGTGAGATGGTATCGCATTGTTGTTTTGATTTGCATCTCTCAGGCTTGTCTTTAATAGGCACTGCACTAAATTACATGCCAGAGGGACTCAA